ATGATCAATAATCTATTGATTTAAAATATTTTACTCATTTTTTATTTTATTTAGATGTATTATTTCTTTGCTTATTTTCATTTCCCATAACAACCTATCAATACTAACTACTTTTCTTTAATACTTCAATCATCTTTCATAACTATATCCCTTCTTCATTTTATCTGTTTGCTATGTTTTTGTTTAAACATATTTTCTTCTTTCTCTTCTTCTCTATTCTCAAATTTTATTATTTCTTTCCTCCTTTATATCTTTTGTTAATCATATATTTATTTTTATCCATCTTTTTTTGTTTCTTATTTCCTATATTAAAATTACACTAGTAAATTGACTACTACTTATTATTTTATATTATTCTTTGATAAGAGGTATAAGAAGTGGTAATAAACAAATACTGTGTAATTATTTATTTTTATACGTAGTTCTTTCTTTGTCAATTGATAAAACTCAAGATTTATGAAAAGTTAATTACTTGATTCATTTTTTATTTGATTGAAAAGTACCTTTTTTATTTCAAAATATAAATAGTTTATAACAAGAGTTAAATAAAATCAATCAAGTTAATTAGAAGAGTTTGGATTTTCATTATTATTTGCTTCTGTTTCATCCACATTTTGGTTTTGGAGTATTTGAGGTTCTTCATCACTTAAAATCTCACCAAGTTGATTTGCAAATATTGGTTCTAAGTTTGTTTCATTAAATTCAATAAACAAAGAACTTTGAAGAATAGAACCTCTTAAAAAAGCGTTTTTAAATTGTTGGTATTTATCATTTTGTAAGAGAAATTCACTTTGTTGAATAGTAGTTGCAGTGAAGTTATCTCCGTATTTATTCTCATAAACAACAATTCCTTTTTCAATATCATCTTCAGATAAACAAACTGCTCCACGTGAAACATCAAGGTAGATTCCAAATCCATTCGTACAAATTATACGATGTTCTGTGAAACAATTATTACAAACAAGACAACCACAATTTAAACAAATTTTTTTTGTCAAAACATCTCCATCAGTTTCATGACAATTACAACATTTTTCAATTGAATATTTATTAACAAGCTTTAATATAGTTTTTGGTAAATGTTTAAATTCAAATGGACGAGAGATGCTTGGAATGGTTAATGCATAAATATTACTGACTTCATTTATATATTGTAAGAAATTAATTTTTTCTTCTTTTTCGTTTATACATTTATTTAATAAATTAATACTTGTTTGATAAGTTTCACATAATTTATTAATGGCTTCTTGAAGAGTGTTAATTTTTTCAAATTCTGAACATTCAACACATTCAAGTTTTTTTTTACTAAACTTTTCTAATGTTCTTCCTTTAAGTAATTTAGGTTCTTTACTTGCAATGACAGCTAATGCTCCCTTAACTTGACTCTTATGAACTATTTCTGTTGGTTCTTTAAATGCCTTAAGTGTAATATATACAAAAAATGGATCAACCAAATCAATTTTATCTATTATAAATTTCTTATTTGATTCATATTCTTCAGATAATATTTGAATTGCTAAAAACATTGAATAGATAAGGTCTTTATCTTCTTCATTCATTGAAATTCCGCTTCTTAAGGCAAGTTCAATTGATGATATAGTAGAGTGTATACACCATGTCATTGCATCAAATGAATTTCCATCTTCAATTTCTATTTCTAGTATTGATTTGAATGATTCTTTAATAAATTCTTTTGTTTTTCCATTTTGGATAATACTTCTGCTTAGTGGCATAAAATGAGAATAGTTATTTACACAAACAGGACAAGTACTTCGTTCATTTCTCATCTCTTCAAAACATTTCAAATGAACGTGATGAGAACATGTCGTAACATTTAATGGTGCAAACGTTTTTCCACCTTCATTAGCTCTTTGAATCTCCACACCTCCATTTCCAGATAGAAAAATAAGTCTACCCATTGGACTTTTTTCATCCATTTGGCAAATGACGCATTCATCATTTTTATTTTCTGTTATCTTTTCAATACTTTTATGATATAACTCTTGTTTCTTTTTCATTAATAACAAAATCTTTTTCTTCATTTCTTGTTTTTTCATCTTTGGTTTTTCTTTCACTTCAATATCACTTTGCAATATTGAATGTTCAGGAACTGATGAAAATCCTTCTAACAAATAACTTTTTATTTCATTTACAAACTCTTTACTTCCAGGTAATTCATTTCTGTGAATACCAATAAAATATCCAATTGTTTTAACAACTTCTTTAAATTCTTCATTTTTGAGAAATTCATTTGATTCAAACAAGTGAAAGTGATATCCGTCATGAATAAATAACATTCCAAGTTCTATAGAATCACAAATGCAATTTTTATTTTTTGTATTTAGTTTTTGTATTAATTGAACAAAGAATTTATATACCCAAATAGATTTTAATAGTTGTTTAATACCATCAAAAACAAGTTCATCTTTAAACCCAAACTCAAACCTATTACTTTTAATTGATTTGGTATTAAAAATTGTTTGTTTGATTAATGACTCACGATGAATTTGACCAAATAATGGATATACTGGATTAATTTGAGATAATAACTTCTTTTTAATTATTCCTTTTTTTTCACAAACAACATCATAATTCCTTTCTAATGGTAAACTATCATATGGAGTTTGTTGTACAATTAGTGATGGTGCAGAAATTCCAGCAGCCGTAAAATGAAGAATCATTTGTTGAAATATCTCAGAATCACTGAGATTTGATGTGATTGTTTGTTCTCTTGAAATTTCTATTAAAGAACGAATAAATCCAGTTACTTGATATGATGATTCAATCTGAAGATCAGAGAGATGATACTTTTTTGTAAGGTCAATATTACTTAAATTAATGCCCAACAAATTAAACATAACAAATGATGTTAAAAAAAATTGTTTTGGTGAAACATAAGAAAGTAGTAATTGAGCTAGTGTAAGGTCAAGTAAAATTGGTTGAAAATAATAAGGACTAACATAGTAATAGAATTGTTGTTCAGCTTCACCACCATTTCTTACCCAATCACCATTAATATATTGTTCTTTAAATACCTGAGATAAAATTACATGTTCAATTAATAATAAAGCATCTTCATTTGATATTTCTGGCTTTTTATTGTTTTTATTTAAATGTAATAATACCTCACAATAAAAATTAAGTAAAGGACTTAAAGGTGATACTGGTTGATTTTTTCCACAAAGTCTTAAATGAATTTGTTCATCTTCTACATTAATTATTGGTACATCAACTAAATATTTTCTGACTGATTTCATTACTTGAGAATGTATTAAAGGGAAATGACTGAACAATGAATTTATTGAAGCAGTATCAACAATGGCTTCAATCATTTCAATTGAATTTTCAGTAACATAACTTGTAGAATCAAAATAATAATTATCATACTCAACATGTGTTCCTTCTTTAATAAGAATTGGTAATGAATTAGAACATAATGACAATGCTTGAATAAATTTATTGTAAATTGAATCATTAAAATCAACAACTGGCATTTTTGGATGTTCTACAATAAACCAAAATAAGAAGTTATTAAAATTATCACTGAGAACATTAGCAGTTTTAAGACTACTACAATATTCTTGTTCATATAATATTTTTTTCCCACAAAAAATTTTAGTAAATAATGTACACATTAAATCTAAAGTATGTTCTAATCTATTTGATTTAAAATAATATTTGATATAATCATCTTTAGAATTAGTAAAATGAAATGTGAGATCTTGTACTAGCTTTTCATTATTAAATGATCCACTAATTGAGTCAATAGACAATTGATAAATTATTTCAGGAGAGAATTTAAAGAGATGTAATTCAGTCATATACTTAGTTAAAAATTCTTTTAAATTCTCACAACCAATTCCACGAGTAAAACATAATTCAAAGAAATATTCAAAATAAGATAATGATTTTTTATTTAACTTTTCTTTAATTGAAGAATGAATAAAATTAGGAATATTTTTATTACAAATATCAGCAAAGAGAAGAAAAAATAAGTTGCATGATGTAAGTGCATTTATTACAATAAGAATTTTTTGTACTTTCGAGTTCATTTCTTGTTGACTTTGAATTGCTATTTCATTAATCATTTTTTCTAAAACAATCTCAATCCCTTTAAATTCTGAAGGTATTTGTTCAACAACATTCCCTTTAAATTGATTTCCATGTTCACTACAAAATCCACTTCTTTTCCATGCACGTTCATTTCCACAATCACATGTAAATGTTCCTGCTGTTGCATACGCATATGCGTCATGTCCTTCATGGTTCCCTTTTGAAAAACAAGTAGAACAAATACACGAAGTATCATCTATTCCACATGTTTTACATCTATAAATAATTTCTCTATGTTTTCCATCTCCTTGATGTTGACAAACACATAAAGGAATAATTCCACTACATTTAAACAATAAAGTTGATAATGGTACGTTATAATATTCTTTCCAAAAATCTTCTACATTCACTTCTTCTTCTTCCATTAGTTATTTAACTGAATTTTAGGGTTTCTTTTTCTTAAAATTCATATCACAAATTCTGTTTTGTATTACAATTTTTTTACTATAATTGTTATATCATTTTGTTATTAAATTTAAAATTGTTTTGGTTATTTTATATTTTCATCTAACACTAAAACAAAAAATTTGTTATTACACTCACTGTTGTTGTAAATTAACTGATTCTTTTATTTCTTTGAAATATTTTAAAATTAAAGTAATAACATTTAATTTCTTTAAGAAAAGAGAGTCATTCTAAAATATCTTTTTAAAAATATAACAAAAAAATTAATGACACTTCTTACATTTCC